CTTTTTGCGAGAAGAGCAAAAACTTTTTTCGCAAGAAGAGCAAAAACTGAGGTAATCTTTAACTCTCTAGAAGTGTCCTATACCAATAGTGTGCCTTATCAAAATGAGTTAACTTCTAACTCAAAATTCTCAGCGATGCCTTGTTTGGTTGGGATACTTTTGATTCTAATTGGCAGATACCGTTAAGCCCAATCGGAGCCCTATCGCTGAGAATTTTGAGTTAAAAGTTAACCGATTTTGATAGGAGATGCTATCGATATAGAGCTGTGTTCAGTTGGACACGCTGGTCCTTTTATGCGTTGGGGCTGGGAATACAGAACATGGTCGGCGGGGGATTCAAATCCGCGACCTCTCGCTTACCGAGCGAACACTGAGCGACACCAAAACGTATGCCCGACCGCCAGGGTAGCCTTACTTTTTCCTATGATAGTCAAGGGTGGATCCGATTGAGTTCCGATTTCCGACTGGCTTTAGAAAAACAACACTCCACCTAAAATGCACAACTTCAAATCTTGATCTCTTTCTTACTATTAGGGTGCAAAAGAAACTGCCGATTTGACGGTAAATTCAAAAAAAAAGATGGCGTTCGATGGTGTATTTTCACAATGGAATATTTTCGCAAGATCTCGAGCAGATTGGCATGGATCGGCCTGAATAAAGTCCCTCAGCTTGGCTTCGTTCACGACTTCTGGCCTCGAACCGTGCTCGTAATCTTCCAAAGTCTCGTCTCCCTCTCGGAATCGTTGAAACCAAGTCTGACACTGCCTGAGAGACAACCTGCCATCTCCGAAAGCAGCACAGAGAGAACGATGCGAGAAGGCAGCAGAATTTTCAATTTTGAAGTTAAACAGTAATGCTGCTCGTAGCACAAAATTTTGCTCGATCATGATCTAAATAAAAAATATAAGCATTTTTAAATAAAATAAACAACAACCAAAAAATTCAAATGTCGAAATAAATAGCAAACAAATATGCGAACAAGACATAAAAAAAATAATGCTGTTAGCATCGCTCGTTTCTGATAAATTAGAGCTGATACCCATCGGCAGTTTCTTTTGCACCACCCTAATAGATACAGTCCACTTTAGAGATCAATGTCCGCCGACAAAATGTCCAGAAACAGAAGCGATGGATGCTCCTGTGAAAACCATAACTGGCGAAGACGACGATTCCAAAGATGTTAAAGAAGATGATTCACAAATGCCAACTTTCGATGATCCGCCGACAAAAGGCGAACGTGAAGCGAGAGACCGATTAATTGGGAAAACTTGTCCCGAAGTCAGTTTTTTACTTTATCAGTTTTGTTAATGTTCTAAAAAACAGGTATTCGAGAGGTGGCTTGTTACCGCAAACAAAACGCCTGCCGAGAAACCACCCGTGGAAATTCCCGACGAATTTTGGAATGAATACACCCTATTTGGGAGAATTCCCATTGGGAGGGGGTGACTTTTTGATTGTTTTATTACATAAGAGTCACATCAGACTGTAACTTTAAATTTAGTTATATTGATCATCGACTGGCTAGTGTAAATGATCGAGTGGGGCCCACGGCAAAGAAGTGGACTGGAATCGACAAGCAATTCGAGCCAGGCGCTGGCATGTTTGCCGGGGCAACATACGGACATCAGACAAGTGCGGGAATAAGAAAACGTTTTTTCTTGCGTTAAGCATGTATTATTAGCAGCCAAGCAAGTCTGGATGCTTTGGGGCCGGAAGCCTTGAAAATTCGGTAGATCTAGACCGCCTGGACCGCACCAGACCCAGGTCTTCAATAAGGTGGCCCGGTGCCGATCCAGACTAGAGTTTGTCCATCTCAAGTAAAGTGTTTTCGAAAGTTTCTAAGAAAAAACTTACCCTAATTTTGTGAATGACCGTGTGGGTTACGCGTTTGCTTCCAAAACGAGCGACTGTTAGGTCGCAGGTTCGAATCCGTCAGCACTTTTAAGAAAGAATTCTGGTTTATGTAGAATTTTATAATGATATAATGATAAAGACTGCTTGCAAACATTTATTAAAGACAGAATAAATGTTTTTAAACACTGAAACCAGGTAGCAGCAAAATCTCTACTACAGTGCGTTTCAAATTCTTAAAGGCACCCTCTAAAATAGCGAATTTTGCATTTTGAACACCGCTACAACTATTAATCTTTTTCTATTAGAAAGAGCATGTCTTAAAACCTAAAAAACACGAAAAATAAGCATACTGTAAAAAGTAAAAATTTTCAAAATAGAGACCTTTTGCTTGATTTAACCGTTTCAAATTCTTAAACGCACTATGAAAATATTTTTATTTATCGACATAAATTAACAATCAAAGGTAAAAAATCAAAACTAATAATTTGTACACGCACCAGAACGATTAATTACTTGAAAAATGCGGTCTGACATTCAATTGATGAGGTTTTGAAAAGCAAAGACGTCGAGATAGCTTCAGGCCAAACGGATCGCTGTTTTAGGTACAAATATACGTCTTGCAACTGACGATGATTTTTGTAGGCAGCTCGGACAAGTATTCGGTATAAATTCACTATCGGATTGACGTCAGGAGATCGAGAGGGTCAGGCCAAAGTTGCAATGTTGTTGTTGTTCAGCCAGTCTCGGGTGTCTCCAGCTCGATGAATGGACGCGTTGTCGTATTGAAACAAATCGGGAACGGTTGGATTTAGGAGCAAAAACGGCAACAAGCAATTGTTCAAGATATCTATCTAGTCATCCGATTCGAAACCATCTTCAGAGCGACCGTTCCATCAGCACAAAAGGCGACCCAAACCATCACAGAGCCACCGCCAAAGTTTCGAGTTCCAAACACCAACGGATCACGTCGAAGATCCCTCCAATAGTAGTCAACGCCATTGGGACCATCCCAATTCCATTTCTTCTCATCGGAAAAGATCACCTAAACGCAAAAAAAAATAAAACATAAGCGGCTTTCTAACCATAGACCAATCCTGATTCATATGACTCTTGGCGAACGCCAATCGGGCTTTCTTGTGTAAAAGCTTCACGATCGGTTGGATGTTCAATAATTGTCGATCGATATGTGCGCTTTTCTTTGATGACTTTGATTCCGTTCCGTTTTCACTTCATTGATCGTTTTTCCGTGGATGTTGTTCACAATATGGCGTCTAGCTCGCGGTGTAAGCTTTGGTTTTGGTCCTGGTTTCTTCCTTGGTACAGAAACGAACTCGCACTTTACATAATTTCGCACGGCAGAGCCGGATCGGCCCAAATTTTTGCGATTTTCCTTATTGAGTCGCCAATCCACAAACGGGCATTAATCTGGCCTTTATCATAATCCGTGAGCAGCTTTCCGTGTGTCATTTACCTGAAGATTAACAAAAATGATAAATTTAATAAAAAATATGCACAACAAAACGAAAAATTTGAAATAACAACAGCAAAGGCGGGTGCATTTAAGAATTTGAAACGGTTAAATCAAGCAAAAAGTTTCTATTTTGAAAATTTTTACTTTTTGCAGTATGCTTATTTTTCGTGTTATTTAGGTTTTAAGACATGCTCTTTCTAATAGAAAAAGATTAATAGTTGTAGCGGTGTTCAAAATGCAAAATTCGTCATTTTAGAGGGTGCGTTTAAGAATTTGAAACGCACTGTATAACTATTAAGTCAAACATCACTTTTTTAACTGCAAAGCCATTTTGATAATAATTTGTTAGTTGAACAAATTTGCAACACTGTAATAACTGACGATAGATCAGCCTCAACTTGCAAATAGATTCTCTCTTTTCGCCCCTGAAGAAAGCGGCAGATCTGAGGCTTCGTTATCACATTTGATTTGTAATGCTTTTTCAGGAAAGCTTACTTTTAGTGATCCATGTATTTCTTTTTACCTTTGGGATCAAATGTTAGTCTACTCTGAAGGGGTGACTCATTGTTCCTCTATCGTTCTCTCGTCTTTTGTCAATCGGCTCAGAGCTAGAGTCGATAAGGCAGGGGCAGTGGTTGCAGCTTTGCTCCACCGAGAAGAGCTTCTCGTCAGAAAACAGGATTCGCTCCCAGTGTGGAGTTGCGGCCCGCTTGAGAAGCTCTCGACATCTTTCGAGTCGAACTCGTTTTTTGTCGTCGTCGAGTTGTTGCCCTTGCTTGAGCTTGTAAGGGTGAAGATTGAGCTCATTTTTGGCCATAATTCGAACCAATTCGCGAGCGATCCCCGTCTGTCGAGCGACCTTTCTCATTGAGACCTGTGGATTCCGAGCCACGCGTTTCTGAATGACTTTGCGATTTCTGGAGGTGTTGACTGTTCTTTTTCTGCCTCTTCCTGGACGTTTTCTACCTCTTTCTGGACGATCGTTGCCAAGCTCCTTGTATCGCTTAATCGCTTTTGAGACGAGCTGATGAGAAACACGTGGCAATCGCGCGATCGCACTCACGCATTGACCTTGACGATGAAGCTCCAAAATGGCAGATCCCTTGTTTGTCGTCCTATAAAAAAATGAATAGACTTGAAACAAAGTAAAGCAACAAAGAAACTAATAAAAACAATCACAGAGAATAGGACGTTTTTTAAAAACACACACTTGGGAAAAATCAGCGTACTTTGCAAATTATTGCAAAAAATTAGCGCGAAAATTCATGGGGGTGGCTATTGTGCGCAACTTGCCATAACTTTCTTTTAAGTAGGCGAATTTTTATGATTTTGGTGTCATTTTGTTGCACTTGTTGAGATCTGCAAAATCACACCAAAACCATAAAGATTAGCCCACTTAGAAGAAAGTTATGGCGAGTTAATTGATTTGATGGCAAATTCCCTTCAAATGTAAAGATATTCAATCTATTCACCGTGTAAAGAGAATTACTCGTTCAAAAGTAAAGAGTACTCGTGGTAAAGAGTTCAAACACGTTGATTAGTTGAGTGAAAAAGACTCATGCAAATTTTACTCGAGTAATTACTGATTCAAAAGGAACATACTCTAGTCCAAACCATGTTTGTTAGCAGTTTGACTTTTATATAATATTTAGAAGTGGTGTTGGACGCATTGCAAATGTTCGAAAAGTATATCAAAGGCAAAAATGGTGCCGTTATCGGATCACAGAGACCTTGGGTTTGTCTTTAGAATCGTTAACAAGCTGGACGTTATTTAAAAAATGTGCTGTTTTGACAGAGTGGGATGCCACGATGCTAAATAGGTTAAACAATTTTAATTTTGAGTCCACTTTTCAAATATTTAGCCTATTTGGCATTGTAGGCATTAAACGCCAAGGCCCAAATCCATCAAATCCATAAAAATTGGAAGCTGGTCAAGCCAAAAGTCAAAACATTGATTTTTGTCTTGAATCGATTAGGCAACCAAATCAGACTACAGAACTGAACTTCTAAAAGTTCAGGCTGAAGTGTTCGCGTTGAAAGCAGGTGCGGCTAGTGTGCTCACCATCGAATATCAAGAATTGGAAATTGAAGTAGGCTCCCAGAATGACAATTGAAAGTGCTGAACATCTTATAGACAAAACAGCCAATGAAATGGATCCATCCAGTCAAATTGGCCAAGGAATGGACTAGGTAAAACGCTTTTCATCTTCCTACATTTCAAATCCATTTTCCAGTTACGAGGAGACATTCGACTTCATGATCAGCTTCTCGTCTCTCGAGCACAGCGGCTTGGGAAGGTTTGCTTTTGGCAAGAGTTTCCACATGGGGTTTTTTGTTAATTTTTAGATACGGTGATCCATTAGACCCTTGGGGAGATGTGCGTGAGATGGCCAAAGTTCTGTGTCTTCTCAAGAATCGTGGCCTGATGATCGTCGGTTTTCCTGTTGGTGAGTGGCAAATGTTTTGTGGTCTAGGCATGCTAGGAATCGTATTGGATAACAGCAGAACGTTTCGATCTAATCCGAAGAATTCGATCCAATCCATGACCCATTTTTAGGCTCTGATGCCGTTATTTGGAACGCTCATCGGATATACGGCGCGATTCGATTACCGTGGATGATACAGGGTAGGAAAAATTCGAATTCTTCAGTTTCCCGCCCTCCATTCAAGTCTCACAAGGGAAAGGCAGTAGGATGTGGCCAAATGAGACGAGCCATGGACCATTCCACGCAGAATTTCACACTGATTCCGAATCTGCTTTTCGTTTTTGCAAAATGGCTTCCTATAAAATGTTATACATGTTTTAAGTTTACGAGTGAAAATGCGAAAATTTGGAGCCGAATAAGGGATGCCTTTATAACGGTTCTTTCACGGAATTCAAACGTGGCTTGATGGTTTAGTGACTAAAGCGCTTGAATACAAAATGACCGCCACGTTTTTTCGAGTTCGATCCTTTTTGGCAAAACTTTTCTTTTGCTTTTTGATGTTTTGATGATTCTAACCGGATTCTAACAGCGTTCTCGCTAGCTCAATATTATCCAAAAATTCTTTTATTTTTCGTATCAATTCCTAATTTATTCAGGTTTTCGTCTTTTGGGCGTATTTTGGTATGATGACAAGACACGGGTCGTCTTCACTGAGGGATTCCCAGAGGGGAAATTGAAACTCAGCGGAATTCGACAACCAGCTATTGTGCTACAGAAAATTTGATCATGAATTGTGGGTTTTAACGTGTACTTAGTTTTAATAACTAAGCGCCAAGAACAAGTTTGATCAAAGTAAATAAAGGCTTTTTGTGAGGACAATAAACCGCACTAAAATGAAGCAAAAATCTCATTTCATTGTTCATTCAAAAATGCTTTAATCGAGTGCCGAGCTTTGCTCACTGTAAAATCGATAACATTGAATGAGAAATTGGTAGACAAATTTCAACAGAAAAAAGGGAAACTTTTTTAAACAAAAAGTCATTGGTTTCTCATTTGACGGCAAAAAAAAAGCAAAATTCAGTGGATGGAATGAAACGAAAAAAAGCACAATTCAATTAATAATCTTCTCAAATCAAAAACAAAAGGTTTTAAATACCGGGAAGTTTGAATCTATGAGATTTTGCAAAAAGTGAAAAAATTTGTAAGGGCGGGAGTCGAACTTGAGAGCAGAAAGTGTCATAGGTTCGATAGTCATAGACTATCTACCGATGCAGTTGTTTGGATTCCGTGTAGCATCCCCATAGAGAGTCCGAAAGCTAGGGCAATTTTCTATGCCAGATATTTCGCGATTCCGAAGCGTTCTGCAAAAAATAAAAGCGGATTCGGGCTCCCTATGGCTGCTTCTATGAGATGGACTGGGTCTATAAGATGGACTGGAATCAAAAGTCCACTTTGAGTTGGCATTCTTGTTTGGACTTGTGCTGACGGTGGCTGGATCCTCGGCAGCTTGTCTATGAGCGTTGCCTCGACTCGTGTGCTCCATCTTGTTGTTGGTCCTCCAGTGGACCTCTTTTGGTCACGTGGCGTCCATTCTGTTATCCTTGTCGTCCACCGATCATGTTCTTCTCGCCACGTGTCCTGCTCATCGGAGTCTTTTCCTCTCTATTACTTCAATAGGATCTTGAGAGTTGACGCATGTTAAAGCTTCTTAGGCCTTGGTAGCGCCGGGTCCTCCTGTTGTGGCCGAGTAAATTTCTTTCCAAGGCACGCTGTGCTGTTGCGATTGCCTTCTCGTTTGTCTTCGTTTCTATAAGATGGGTTCGGTCTCGAATCAAAAGTTCAATTTGAGTTGGTACCAGTCGCTAGTAAGCATCCATTGTTCGTCAGGTTTGTCCTAAGTGTTGTTCCAAAATAATCAACATTTGTTCTATCAGTCATTCTTACCCCTTTCACTCAATCCATACCCATTGAATGGAATATGATTCATATTGGGGAGCGGCCCTGGTTTGCTTTTTGACGGAAAGATATTCGTTTCGAACAGTTGCTAATGTAAATATTACAAGGGATGCAAGTTGTTCAAACATTACATTACATTTTCGTCGTGTTTCTGCGTGGAAGGGTAAACGAATCAAGAAGAATCGCTTGCATGTTGAAAGAAACGTTCGAAAGGAATTTAGTGAAGTTCTCTAAATCTTTTCCTTTTTTATTTATCGCCGGTTGTTTTGATTTGTTTGTTTTTGGTCTCATTTATCTTTTACTAAAATGGATAACCGCTGAACGGAATCTTCTGAAAGATTTCTCTTTCCCGAGACAAATTTACATACGAACATTTGCATAGGCAAGCATAACGCGTCTCCTCCTCATTTCCGCCAAAATGTCTATTCGATTTCCCAAATTACTAAAAAAAATTTTCTCGGCTCTTTTTTGCCGTTCTATTAGAGTTTAAGTTGTAGTTACATGTTTCTGGCTCTGAACTTGGCAGGCAGGCTAAGACTTGCAACAAACAGACAATTCAAAATTATAGAAGAGTAGTGCGGGGTTCCCAACAAGGTCAACTGGTCGTGTGACGGCCAAGGTCTTTATTACCGGTCAGACTTTGTATGCATTGCTCATTAAAGAATTTTTCGGCAAGTCTTCCTTCAGGCTCTTCAAATTGGTCGCTGATCGATTCCCATTATTTTTCTTCCTTTTCTTTTCTTCTTTCATTGGCATCGATGGCAAGTGGTGAGAGCATATGGAAAGTGCTCGTCTTTGTGGTCATTGGTAGGTGTTTTCAAAAGAGCCAAAATCTAGAAAACATTTTCAGTGACTTATGTTTGTTATATAACCGAAATTTCGAACTTCTATCCAGACTGGAATTTCGCGACCAATTTAAGGCCTAGGTAGGCTTCTTAGATTCGTTGAAAATCCTCAAAAGTTTCAGCTTTATAGACAAAATTGCTTCTGTTGTGAGAGCAGAAGATTCACGAGAGGAAATAGAAATGACTGCAGCCTCAGGAGAATTATCAAAGTCAGAAGAAGAAGAAGAATTAGAAGTGAATATAGTAGATGAGAAGAAAGAAAGAAAAGAAGAGGAAAGGAGTGCAGAGAAAGAAGAAGAAGAAAAGGAAGAAGACGAAAAGGAAGAAAAGGAAAAAGAAGAAAAGGAAAAAGAAGAAGAAGAAGAAGAAGAAAAGGAAGAGGAAGAAAAAAAAGAAGAAGATAAAGAAGGTGATGATGAAGAACTAGAAGTGAATATAGTAGATGAGAAGAAAGAAGGAAAAGAAGATGAAAGGAGTGCAGAGAAAGAAGAGGAAGAAAAGAAAGAAAAGGAAAAAAAGGAAGAAGAAGAAAAGAATGGAAAAGATAAAAAAGAAAAAGAAGAAGAAGAAGCAGATGATGATGATAACGAAAATGATGAAGAAGAAGAGACAACCACGAAACCGCCCCCAAAAGAACTTTTGTCTAGCAAGGAACGTCTTGAGCTGATATACAAAGAATTGCCAGAAGGAAGGGAAAAGAGTAAAAGTGGGTATCTTGATCATCTTGTGACCACCACTGACAATCATTAGATTCTAAAAGAACGGCGCCTTTAGGAATTTTACGATTAGGCTTAAAGAATTTAGCTTTGAAGTTAAGCTACCCTATTTTATTGAGTGTTTAGCAATTCCCCTAACAAACAATCGACCACCTTGCATTTTTTGAGGTCTATATATTGCTTAGGGTACTTTTCTCTTCCCTTAACGACAACTTGGTCTGGTGGCGGAGTGGGAAATCAACTTTTCGAGGTTTTCGCTCTGCTCGGATTGTCAAATTCGTCGCACCGGTAAAGTAGCTTTCGGAGTAGAGGGGACTCGATCAATAACGAATTACAGAACCCCACTCGTGTTCCAAAAGAATGGCAGTGTTCTTGGGAAAATGCTGGCCCGAATAAGACTGCATTTCCCGGCGTTAATCGAGCAAATCACGCTCGTTTCGAATCCGGCAATATTGGTAAAAATTGAAAGTACAGTCGTATGCCTAAACATGATTGTTGACCAGTAATCCGTGTAACAAGTGAACAAGGAAAAATCTTTTAGGAAAACACGACAGATGTTGCCTTACATCGAAAGGGTTGCTGTCGTTACTGGCCAATAGATGAACTCCTCGAGAAAAATACCTCAGCCGTCGTTAGCGGACGGGGGATTTATTTTCAGGTACAAGAGCAGGGATACTTGGTTGATGCAAAAGGAATTTCGGTTTTTTAAAAACATTCATTTCAATCAAAATTCCTTTAGGTAACAATTTATTCGAAACAATAAGCACCATCGCTATCTATAACATCCCTCCAACGTGGCTTCAGATTACGCATTCTCTTATTGAAGAACTCTTGATTCTGTGATTGAAAGTAGTCGGTCACCCAAGTCTCAACCTCTTGCGCATTCTTAAATTGGCAATTCGCAAGGAAATGTTTCTTTTGCATCAACGTAGTATATAAAAGAGCACTGTCTGTCTGTCTGTACGGGCATTTTCTCGGCCATGTTTTGACCAATAAAGCTAAAACTTCTTTAAAAAGCTAAGAATGTATTGTAGTTGTGCCTTTAAAAACATTTTAAAAAACAAAGTCAAAAAACACCTGGGGATTGAGCCCGGCCGTAGCGTAGGTGTGAGCCGTAGACAAGCGCGCTCTGGACTGCGCCAGGATGACAAAACTATGCCCCAACACAACCAGCCAGAAAAACCCGCTCCTAGGCGGATTTTTTGGCTGGGCGTCAAATAAGAGTCAAACTTAGAGCCATCTCTACTGGATTCACATCAGACCTTCTCTGCTCAAATGGATGACACCGTCCGAATTCGCCGCCAATGAAACAAAATATGCATTCAGAGAGCGAGATTTGGTCGAGGGACAAGTGTGGGTGCTTCTTTCGGTACTTCTTCATCATTCTTCTCCCGGCATCTTCTCACTTTCCATTATGCCCCACTAGAGTCAGACTGGCACGGGTGTATCTCCTGCTTTTAACTAATTACTTATACATTTAATGCTATTCGGTTTCAATTTAGTTAAGACGCTTGCGACCGATTGTGGGACATTTGAGGCGCGCCCCCCTCCCTGTGCCATTGGCAATCCAACTTTGAGCTCAAATATTTTGGTATTGGGCTGTCCAATTTGAATAGTTTTTGTACCAATTGACAGAGAAAGACTTGACGCATCCAATGCTGAGAAGAATATTTAAATTGGACAGACCAACGCCAAGATATTTGGGGTCCAGTTAGATTGCCAATGGCAAAAGAGGCCGGGCGCGTATCAAGTGTCCGATAACCTTCGTGACCCCAACCCCAATGGCTCGACAAAATCATCTAAAAGCTGCACTTTGAGGTTTTTTGGGCGTGGAGATCCGGATGCGAGAGTGGCTTTTACCCTCAGAACCATTAAAACACTCGTTCTCGAGCCGATACTCTCAAGCTCGGCGTACCAAATGTTTACAGGATTAAATTTGAAAAGTGCCCTCGTCCGGCGAAATGAAAACACCATAAAGCTTTGTCACGAATGTGTTAACGTCATCCTGCTATTTCAGTTTCATTTAGCAGTAGCTCTTGAGCCTAAAGTAGGAAAATACCCATTCATTTGTCATTCTTGAGCAAGTGAAGCAAAGGAGAACCTCTTCTCTAACCTCTAGGTTATGTGTTCATGCTCGTCGCGGAAATTTCCTTCATACACGACAGGCGGCCTCAGAAGCAAATTTCACCCAATCAGCCACGAAATATATAATAAAAAAGTGTAAGTTAAAAATGGTTGCAAAAGTTAGCACCTGAGAAATAGAGTTTTTAAAATAAAAGAGTCAATTTAGATTTGAAAAAGAAACCCGGTCCGATCACCGTTCTTCTCTTCTCGAATGATCTCTCATGGATGCGCGAGACATACTCAGAAATTTATCGAAATAAAAAGTAACGTTGAAGTGGCAAAAAGCCGATTTTTCATCATTTTTCAATCATTTGATTCTAAGCGCTGGTTAATGCTAAAAATATGTGTTATATCTAAAAAAAATCACCCATTCTCTCTACTCCAATTTGATTTGAGAAAGAAACGTATCGATGTCGAGATATGAGCGTTTGTTCAAGAGTAAACTTAGACTACGCAATGCTACTTTGGGGGAGCTTCTATTAGAGTATTTACGGTGATTACTCCACTCGATGATGCATTTATAGTGACAACGAATCCTTTGTACAAGTCGGCAACGTTCTTTACATTTTGGTCGATAATCTTTCTGCTTTCAACACTTTGATCGTGGCCAAAGATTATTGCGACAATTTTCTGATTACCGGTGAGACAGCTTTTGCCTTTATTTCTCAATCACAAATTTTAGCTGCTGCTTCAACGTACGCCTATATGATGTCTTTTCTCGCAAAAAACGGTCGTGCAAAAGTTTTCTATGCTGAGGTGAGATACAAGAACCTACTTTTATATAGTTTTGTAAAGTTGTCGAACATGTAGTGGGGCTGAGAATGACGAAAAGTGATTATTTTTGTAATTGCGCAACGTTTTGGGGCTTCAGAATACAATTGTGAAATTTGGTAAACCGACCAGACATTTGGGGAAATGGGGAGGAAGCGCGTTATGCTAACCTATGCAAAAGATAAACGAAGCCAAAGCAAATAAATCAAAACAACCGACGATAAATCAAACAGGAAACGATTTAGACGATTTCACTCAAATCAATTCGATCATTCGTTGTCTAAAAACTTAATCCCCGCCGATTATGGGCGGGACTTAACTTTTTGCCTGATAACTTTGCATGGAGATCACATCTTGAGTTTATTTTGGTATCATCCGACCGCAATTTTATTCTGCATCGAATGCTAGTCAAAATAGTCGAAATCAAAGGGTTGGTTGAGAAAAACACGAAAAAGTTTAAATTACCAACGGCCAAAAGGACCGATAGATGTTTTCGTTACAAGTCTAGAGCTGATTATTGCCAGAACTGCGAACTTTTCTCCGCCTCGTTCTAAAAATACAGTTTAGCACTTTGCAACGCCATATAACACTCTTCCCAGGCACTTCAATCCAAAGGAATTCCATTTGCCGCACTGGATTCCATTACGGCGAGCGAACCCAAAGAAATGAACCTAACTAATCAAAGGTTTCAGTTTGCTCGACAATTTGGACATCACGCAAATATCCAGAGATGAGATACAGCCCTGGGCGACGACGAGCCGTCCAACGACGAAAAAAGCCAACGGATAGACGTAGATAAATATATGATAAAGCCATAATGTGTACACATAACATAGCTTCAACATGAGATGAAGTTTTCAAGGAAATTCTTACTTTTTCAGATTCAAAAAGCCCAAAAAATGGCCTAAATGCTCCCGATGTTTTGCTAATAATAATAATAATTTGCTAATAGTGCTTTGACTTCTATCAAAGTAGCCCAAAAACCAAGACAGAAATTTACAATTTACAAAAGAAAATCCATCGTTTTTTGTTCGTGGATGGGAATTGGCAAACGAGGTGGACTAATTTCCGTAAAAAAGAGAAGAACGGAGGGGCATTTTTCGTAAGTTTTGTCTGTTCCTAAAGATTAACATCTTCGAACAACGAAAAAACATCGAAAAAGCAAAGGTTGTGTGGTAATCCGAGGGTCGAGGGTTCGATTCCGAGTCAAGTCGGTTTTTTTAAAAATTTCTGCTAAAAAACAATTATGTTGCATTCTCGGGTAATTTTTAACGCTGATTCCGAAAAGCATGGTTTCAGCACAGGTTTCCATACAAAAAACAAATAATGTCGATTTTTTTGAAATTTGGGGTCGAAGGCACCTAGGTAAAACCGCTGCAAAAACTTTGAAAGTTGATGAATCGACAAACAGCCTTTTCCATTCAATCCGCTAGATAATTATCTTTAAAATGAGCTATTACACGATCAAATCAGATGAGTTTAAGACCCTCTTCTAAAGAATTGACGGAAACTCGCTCCCCAACCTAATATTGGGTTGGGGAATTGAAAACTGCGGGACTTTGAACTAAAATTTATTCAACATAAAACCATAATTCATTCCAAATGATTTCCATTATTATTGACGACTTCTGCCCATTTGACAGCCAAATTGCGGATTCCTCTTTCGTAGTAGGATTTTGGTTTGTGTGTGAGACAAGTGTGAGACTCGAAAATGGAGGACTGGAGATGTCCCAGTTTGAGCACTTTCTTCAAAAGAAACCCATTTTCAATAGAAAAGTTGTAGAGAATCAAAATTAGACTTATAGCCAAATTTCCAAAAAGATACACTTAGTAGTTTCGCTTCAAATGCAAGTTTTGTGAAAATTCGTAAATTTGGCATTTCTTGAAAACCAGCTTTTGAATCGTTCTGAAAATTTGGTTATAAGCTTAATTTTTGATTCTCTACAACTTTTCCATTGACACCAAAATGGGTTTCTTTTGAAGAAAGTGCTCAAACTGTCACATATGACAATAGCCCGCAGTTTTCAATTCACCAACCCAATAGATAGGAGGTGATGGAAATGAGAACCGTTTTCCGTCATATGATGCTTGTATGAGAAAATGTGGAGAAGATGATTATTAGAGAGAAGAAATAAAAATCTATTGCAGCGAATTACGTATCAGCTCCATTTTTCATGTTTTATGATGTTTCATTTGTCTCGACGTGTTTCACAAATAAAGTGTCAGGATTCTGTCAAAAATCTTTGTAACCAAAAGTTCTTGATCTCTTCCAAGTGATCAGAAATCTTCGTGAAAGCAAAAGTTATTCTTGCAATTTTCCAACCATTCTCAAAAAAGTTCCCTGTTTTTTCTAATTCCAGGTTGGCTAGAAGAATTTACAGCCCATAAAAGCTCTTGGAACAAGAATAGTTGGTAATTGCTCAAAGAGATCACCGATCACTGTTGCTCTTTGAAAAGTTATTTTTATTTGAAAATTTCTAGCTCAACTCCGATGCGAAGACCAGCAGGCGACTGGTTGTGGTTCGATCAAAGTGATATCCCGTATGACACTTGGGATTATTTGGCCGGTGAAGTAAAATTAAAATATGGACTTCCGCAATTGATTGCTTCTGTAATTGGATGGTTTTTCAATTCAACGATGTTTTTGGTAAAATTGACAAGGATTTCTAAAAAGTCTGAAAAGGTTTTCAGACATGTAGGCAAAGGGTCACCAAGGACATCCGAGACACGTTCTTCTTTTGGATCTTGATGCTGCTAACGTTTTTGAATATGATTCAACTAGTCAATCATTTGTTATGTGCTTTTATGACTCTTGCAATGGATTATGAGATCTACGTCACTATTGTAAGTAATTCCCCAATTGTTGGCTGATTTGCATGTTTACTAATTTTCTCAGAACATTTGGTTGTTAATTGTTTTGTATCTACAGATATAACTGAAACAACTTACCGTAAATACGGTAATTCAACGGCACCGCCTCGTACAGTCGCATAGTCTAACTTCTTTTTAGAAAATCATTTTTTCTCAGCCCCTAGATTTTTCCCAACTACATTTTTAGTACTAAAAAATACTAGATTTCAAGGGCTATCATTTGACACCCAAGCGCACATTGTAGCGTAAAGCAACGCGGAAAACGGAGTGTGTAAAGTTAGACTACGCGGCAATACCCCGTCATTATAGAGGTACCGTTCCATTACAGTATTTACGGTAATTAGAGAACTTTCAACGTGGGTAAGTTGGATAGGTTCTCTAGTAAGTAGACACATCCCTAGACACATCTGGTTGACAGCAAAAAATCATGTAAATGTTTAGCTTTTTGTTAATCAACTACATGTAAAAGTACTTTGTAAAAGTTAAACGCTCTAGCTAACAATTGGTTTTGCTCGTGCCGGTTGTTATTGTTCGGATCTGTTAAGAGGGATCATCGCTGTTCACCGTTTAACCATCGTTCTGTTCCCTTTTCAACTTCACTCTATTCCAAGAGCTGTTTATGCGGCAAGTACCTGCTTGCTAGCTTGTTTTGATAGAAACTTCTAGTGTACTCTACTATGCATCATTGGTTTATTCTTCTCTGTTCTTGGTATGTACATGACCCCTGGTGGAGCGTTTGTCTTTTGGGCGAATGAGGTTTTCTTTGAAGCGTTCACTGACGAATCTCTTCAGTTTGACATCAATAACAATGTAAGAGTTTAGAAAAAAAAACAATTTCTTGATTTTCTACAGTTATCGAAATTCACCAATTACACAAATTTGGTGGCTGGAGCAATTTCATATGGAATTCTGGTACCTGTCGTTCTTTATCGGAGTAGAAAAACGGAGCCTCCAAAGAACAAAGAGCAAAACTTTGCTTTACCGGTGAGTTAACATATTAAAACAGGTGCAGAACATAGAAACTTACCCAAGTAAATGCTCATTTTTTCAGCTTTTTGTCACATTTCTTTGCTCAATCGCTACCTTTGTTTTGTGGGAGGTATGAAAGAGTTTATTGATATTGAAATTCGATTTTTTTTCTAGGTTATGCCTCCTGTTTATGTTCATGGCATCAAAGATCCGGAAGTGAGAAATAGCTAAAAACAAAATCAACAAATTTGCTAGCTACGACGAGAAAGACGAATAGCTTTTGCAGGCTATGCGATGTTGTCTCATCTTCTATGGATTCTCCAAAACTCACAGGAAGCAGCTGTGCTCTTTTTGTTCAATCAGTAAGCTAAAAATAACTTGACAGCAATCAGTTAACTCAAAATCTTTAGAAGTTAATCTTTAGAAGCCTTCGAAAGGATATGTTGAGGAATCTAATCTGCAATGCTCTCGAGGAGAAAACGGAGAAGCCCACAAGGATCACAGTTCAAACAAAAACAGTTTAGATGCTCACGTTTATTGTCATGAATTGCCATGTTATTGCTATTGTCAAAGTTTAATTAAACATTTATGAGATTGATCACAAAATTTTACACAGCACCAGTTGCATATCGTTGTGACTGGGACCAGTTAGAGGCTGCTCGAAGCAGGGATGTAGTGATTATTGTTGGTTTAGATATAATCTTTATTACAGCAATAATAGTTGGTTCAGTGGTTTGGGATTGGGAGAGTAGAGACGACTCCAGGCACATGTCGGCAGCTCGTTCACATTGCTTTTATACGGAACTCAGTCGTTGGTCTCGTCTTACACACAATGGAGTTGAACGGATAGCGACGCATATTAAATCTCGCACAATAGGCGTTCGTCCACATAGGTGTCTAGCTGGCCATTTCCATCCGCGGTGATCTCGATCACGAGATCGTCACGACAAGGGAGCTCTTCAACTTTTTCCACGTCTAAACTGTGTCTTCAACTCTGAAAATTGTAGGTTGAATCGAGCGATTATCTTTTCACTTGCTTACATTATACTTTTGGTTATTGTTAGCACCACGCCATATTTAGACAACCAAGTAACCTGGAAAAATTATTTAAACAGTTTTTAGCAATAACAAAAAGTTGAGCCGCAGCCGGATCTGAACCAGAGACAAAAGAGAGAGAGAGTTCTAGGTCATTATCTACAAGCCCAGAGATCATGTCTACAAACCGCTGTAGAGCCCTTATGACTTGTGGATGCCCAATTTTGACGTAAACTTTGAAGCGAAATATCTCAAAATTTTAGGACCGTCATCCCCAATCGAAATACACCATCAGAATCAGCGCAAAAACTGAACAAGATGTGCTAGGTCTCAACCCAAAACCGAAGTGTAAATCGAAAAGCATCCCTAGTCAGTCAAATCAATCAAAAACAAAAAAAGTGCTCAAACAAATCGAAAATCGTGTAATGGACGTGGTGGCGAAGGGTTTTGTTTGAGCATCTGCTACATTGAGCCCTTTTTCTTTTCTTGTTTTATCTTTTACAGCGTCAAAAGCTTTCTCATTCAATAACACCATTCGAATAACTCAATAATATTCATGAGTGCCACCCGAGAAATTTATGTTCTTCTCGCTATTTCCATCGTACTTTTTCTTCAGATTCTTCACATCAAAACTTGTGAGTTTTTTTTGAAAATTTGGCATGAACGTCGTTTCAAAATTTTCTGTTTTTGAAACCGTTTTCAAACAATTACAGCTGGCCAGACTTTTAAAATTAAACTTTAGAGTAATGCTTCATGAAGCTTAGTTATTTGAAAGAAAACTGCTCCAACACTTTTAGTGACAAGAGAAATCCACACCAAAGTGTACAACACTCAAAAATCGGTCCCCATATCACAAACAAGGGCTAATCAAAGCCGATCGTGTCGCTTGGATGATGCAGTGCTGGAAATGTATAAAATACAAGTGGGTTTAGAATGGGAATTACAGTGAAACGTTGTTAGTAAACTACTGAATAAATAAATTTGAATTAAACTCCCAAATATGGAATATTTTAATCTTGACAGAACTCAGCGTTCCTTTCGTAGTTTACTGACGGGTTTCATTGTCCATGTTTTGAATGTCTACATGTCTGTATGACTGACTAACTCATAGCAAAACTTATAGCATGACAAACGAGTCAACTTGATGAAATCTGCCGCAAGAGTGGCGGGTGAACAGCGGGGATACGCCAAACTCTACAACGGCATTGTGCCTGAGGTTGGGTTTTTTTGTAATGTGAAAGTTCTGTTATCAAGGTTTTCTGCCCGAGTCTCGTAAGAATCGGAAATGTGGATGATGGCGGGAAATGGGTGTGTAATCCGATGGCCATGCCATGTAAGACTTTTTAAACACTAAGGAAAGTATTAGGTTAATGCATAAGCCTTACAATTTTTTTCCAAACGTCTTTTTAAAAATAATGCCGCCATCAGCAAAATTTCTGTTTAAACTATGAAAAAGCTTGTTTTTTTTTTCTGTAAAATGGCTTTTAGGAAATTCTTGGAAATAGTTATTTTTGTGGGTCTTCAAAGGTGCAAAGGCGAGCACTCAAAACTGCTCGAATGCCAAAGAAAGTTTGGAATTTGGACATTTTCTTTAATAAAAACCTATTTTGGTATTAAAGTAAAAAGATAGAGTTTTTGATTACATACATCTGTAAAATTTGAAAACGATTCGTCCAGTAATTTTCTTTAAAACAACAATTGAACATTTTACATAAAAATCCATTTTTGAACTCACTCATAATTTATTTTCTCTTAGCCGGCTGTGCGATTATGTCGCTTGGAGTGGCTGGTGATCCGAGTTTTGAGAAGGAGATGCAATTGCTGACAAAGCAGAAATGCTCTGTGCAATCCTACGACAAAGTGAGGGGACTTATTAAAGATTTCATTTTGATTTTTACTCTAATCTAGAGAGATAGAAAATAAAAATTTCAGAGAGATCCTGGGCCGGTGATTGAAGGGATGGAAAAGATTAACGCTTTCTTTACGAAGGCTCTCATTTCAGTGAGAGATGATCCCGAGGTTGGTGGCGAACATTTACAGACGATCTTGTGGTTAGCCTTGAAAATCAGCAGATTTAACACATTCGCGACAATGCGCCTCACCGGTGGGTCGCACGGTTTTCTCGGTAGTCCCGGTTTCTCGACAAAATCATCTAAAAATGGCACTTTGCGGTTTTTGGAGATGGAGACTCCGAATTCGGCATTGTTTTTCCCCTCAAGTATCTCTAAAACACTCTAAAACACTTTGTGCCGATACTCTCAAAGTTGGGATACAAATTTTTTAGCGACAAACCCAAAAAAATGGCTTTGTCGCGAATGTGTACTACAGTCGAACCCTGTTAATGACCTATAGACGGGATCCCGGAAAAACCGGTCACTAAAGAGATTTTGCCTTATAAAGCGCCAAAAACACTCAGATTTTACTCTTAAACATGTTTTTCGTAGTAAAGTAGTATTTCTAACCAAAAAGCACGTCTAGAAGATGTTAAACAGTAAATTTCAATGGAAAAATGAGGTTGGGTAAAAAAGACAGAACCTCATTAGTGACTAAACCTAACGACTTTCGGTTTCCTTCAAGAGTTCTAACGGGTTCACTAATAGTTCCTCGTCTAATAAAGTAGACCTAATCTCCCCAGTTTCACAGTGATTCCAAATCAA